CAGGACCTCCTGCAGCGCTCTCTGGGCTTCCCGCTGGAGGCTCTCGATGTACAGGGACGCCCTCAGCCCGGGGACGTCTGCCGAGGGAGAAGAGGAAAAGCCGGTGATGAGGGAGGCTGGAAATCAGCCCCAGGTTTCTCCCATTCCCCCCCCTTCCCCATTTCTCGGAAGGGATCTCCGGGGCTGCGCTAACGAGATGTACGCAGCGCTACCGAGACGCGGCTATTTCAGGGCTGCGGTTTTGAGGGAGCGAAAGGAGTTAACTGGGCAAACTCAACGCTTTACAAATTAAATCCCGGGGCCCTTTATTGTCCGCAGGGCAGGCAGAGGTCTCTGGCTTTCACCGCTCCGTGTGACGTCCCTCCTCCCCGCTTCCCGGGGCATTCTGTAACGATCGGTGTGGAGGATAAGGTAACCAGCCCTCCCCGCTCTCACGCCTGCCGGCGCTCTTGAACGTCTACAAGCCGAGAGGCGCCAACGTCTGCGGGACATGCTCTCCCGCCGGCAGGCAGAGCCGCGAGGGCCGGGCACTCACCGGGATTGAAGAGAAGGGCTCCCTTCAGGTAGGCGTATTCCTTGGGGCTCAGGTCCAGGCTCCAAAGGGTGTTCAGGCAGCACTGCAGGCGCTGCACGGCGGCCAGCGTGGGCTGCGTCCGCTCGGGCTCCCGATGTTTGCTTTGGCCGTCGAGGAGGATCTTCTTGAGCATGCTGGGGGCCGGGGTCTCCATCACCTCGAAGGTCACCATCTCCTGGACCAGCCCCAGGAGGAAGAGGGGAACCCAGCAGCTGTCCAGCAGCAGGAGCTGATCCTCTCGCGGCAGCAGGTGGAAGGAAGGGAGGTTTTTCATGAAGCTGATGGTTTTTACCAGCACGTTGGAGGCCGCCCGGCAGGTGACGTGGGGTGTGCGGAGGCAGACGGTCCGGCGCTGGTGGCAGAGGCAGCGCTGGTGGGCCGGGCTGCGGCCGCCCCGGCCGTGGGTGAGGTTCTGGCTGAGGAGGGTGTAGAGGATGGCGGGGCGCTTGTCTTCGCTGTGGCACTGGGCA